TAGAAGAAGAAGTTGTTGTTGTTGTTTAGTGCCATAAAACTCCAGGCTCACAAGTTGCTACTCATGAAGAATCCTGCACAAGCTTACCGTCTCGGCTTAACTGCAGCAGTGAGGGTCATTCGGCATTGCTTAGATGCAGACTGCATGGGGGCTCCTGGGGGGAGCTGCCTTCTTCTTGGGACAGCAGACAGGTGGTCCTTTCCCTGCCTCACAGTTGCAGCCAACCTGCTTTGGATCAGGCCCAGCTAGAAATATGCCAGAGCCTCATGCGCACGAAGGAGCACCTCCCTCCCAAAAAGGTTTGATTAAAACCTGTTGAGTTTCAGGCCACACAAAGGCCATGATCATTGTTAACTCTATAAAGACTTTAATTTTTAAATTAATAATAATTACAGTTTAAATAAGTGCAGAATACATCCAGGGAAGAAGGAAAGAATGGGGGGAGAAAGTGAGGGGGTACATAAATGCTGTTTGTATGTTTTTCTTTCCTTTTTTCTGAATGTTTATTTCATTACAAAATCAAATTGCCCCTCAAACAAGGAAAAAAGAAAAGAAACAAATGTAAATGCTTACAAAAGATTGACTGCAACGATCAGTTATCAGTGATCAGCAAGTTTATATTATAATCTTTTAAAAAAATAATTTTATTGAAGTTTTTAATAAACATAGCAAAACCGAATACAAACTAAATGAGAAGAAAAAAGAAAAATTAAAGTTCAGAAGGCGCAGAAAAAAACAGAAAAGGAAAAAAAAGTAGAAGGGAAAAGAAAAAGACATCAGTAATAAAGAATTAGCTTCTAACCTTTATCACACCGAGCAGAAGCTAATATGCTACCTTTTCACCCTCTTTTAAAGTTACTCAATCAATCAATCAATCAATCAATCAATCAATCAATCACCTCTTCTCCCCATAGCCTAACTTTTATCTATACACAATCCAGAAATCGCCAACTTTTCAGTCCTGATTCAGGAAAAAGTCCATTAGGAGTTACCAGAAATTACCAAACTAAAACTGGAATTCAACGACTTAAATTCATTTCTTTTTTCAAGCACAGAGGTTGATTTCCATTGTTTGAAATGAAGGAACTTGGGTCTTATCCAATCTGTGCTGAGGTTGGATCAAATAGTTTATCTGCGAGTTTATATTATAATCCGTAAGCATGTACATATACAGTTAGTTTGGGATAGTGGTGAAGGCACCAGGCGAGAAACCAGGGGACCGTGAGTTCTGGTCCCACCATAGGCATGAAGTCAGCTGGGTGACCTTGGGCCAGTCCCTCTCTCTCAGCCTTAGTAAAAAAAAAAAAGGTGGCCTGCCACTTCTGAAAAATGCAGGGGGGCAGTCACCTGGAGTCAAAATAACACGAAGGCACAATCTTTAAATGCGCGTGTGACATACTTTTATACTTTCTAATTTCTATACTTTAACTACAATACAATACAATACAAATACTTTAATGACCAAGTATAAAATATATACAAGGAATTTGTCTTTCAGCAAGATCAACGGTGCATTTGGATAACAACAGAAAATTAATAAGCAGTAACAATAACACTGCCCAGTAAAATAACTTTTCC